GATTTTGGGCACGCACACACACGCCCGGCATGAGTTTAAGCCTCCGGGTCCAGGACTCGAACGGCGGTCGACTACGTGGGAGTCCAGCAACATAGCCATTACGCTAACTGCTGGTCCCTGGAAACAGTTTTGAAGTCAGATTTTAAGAAGTCCATATAACATAGGACCAGCAAATGGTGTAATGGTTACATCACTGGACTCGCTTTGGCGGCCTGGGTTCGAATCCCAGACCTGCTGGTTTAAAACTCACTCCAGGTGTGTGTGAATGCATGTCCAAAATCCCAGGAGAATGGAGGAGAAGGAATAGAGGCATGGCCATCCACTCTGAGGGTTGGCTTTTTGTTTTCTCTATCTCTGCCTCTCTGGCGAGTGCACAGGCCCTATAGCAAAATTCTCTCTCTAAAAAGAAAAAATAATAAAAGTCCATATAACTTGCCAAATACTTATAAATATCTTTGGTCCTCTGCTTGGTGAATCCGTATCAGAGAGATGGTGCTATCTAGCCTGTTACAGAACTGTGTAAGATATAAATTTACTGCCTGTGCTTCAAAGATTTATTTGCAGTTTTAGTTGTCATATATATTTCTGTTTTTCATTTTTAGGAAATTGAGAAGGGATTATCCCTCCAAAATCTTGATGAATCTGTGTACAGCCCTGCTGTTCCTGAATCTCATCTTCCTGCTGGACGGCTGGATCGCCTCCTTTGGCATGGATGTACTTTGCACAGCCATCGCTGCTCTGCTGCACTTCTTCCTTCTGGCGACCTTCACCTGGATGGGGCTAGAAGCAATCCACATGTACATTGCTCTAGTCAAAGTCTTCAATACATACATTCGCCGCTATATTCTAAAATTCTGCATCGTTGGCTGGGGTAAGCCTGCTAAAATATTTTGGTTTTGTTTTTCCTATTATGAAAGTTGCCAGATAAGAATATTCTTATTTCTGAAGAATAGTACTGTAAAGGCCCAGATGGTAGCAGAGAAGTACAAAATGACATTTTGTGGGTAGATCCACATGGTGCAGGTTCTGGGTTCACGTCCAGTGTCCCGAGTATGCTGGACATGCACGTATATATGATCTGTGCTGACTGAAATTTGGTGATGACTGTGGTATCTGGACTCGGGGGGGTGGGGTAGGGGCTGTCTCTCTGTCTCTTGCTCTCTCTCATGGAAGGAATATGTAATTAGAGAGAAGAGTGCTATTGAGAGAAACTTTAAAATTGTGAATGCCATTGATTGCATGTATGTATCCTAAGGATGGGGCATCTTCACAAGGGTATTTTTGAAAACTGTTCAG